TTGAGCTTCGCAATAGTCATATCGTGGAATATCATGTCTAGCAATCGTCAACTGAAAATGAAGAACGGAATTTTCTGTATTATTTTTAGTTTTGTGTGCCGTGTTAAGTGGATTTTTTTTTGTTGTACGCCATAATTTTCTTGGTTAACACTAGACGTGCAGCTGCCATTTAAATAGTTGAAATTGTGACCATGCACATATGTATTCGCAGCTCAACGGAATAAAAAAAAATGTAATATGAAAAATTATTTTAAAAAAGGGCAACAACACACTCCAAATCAGCACCACAACCATTTTCTTCGTGACAACGGTAAACGGTAGCACTGTTGCGACAAATGAGCGTTTGCGAATGAACAGCAGCTTTTTTTCTGCTATAAATACACCGCCACCAAGAAACGTCAGTCAATAGCAGAGCACAAGGTTCATCGTGGCGAACTATTTTCTTCTCTCTCGACATTTTACTAGGATTTCTTTTTATATCAAAAATAATATCACGTTAGTACATTTTGCCGAACGTCCGAATTTTTTCTTATTCATTTTTATTGTTGGTTTGAAACTGCTACTTCGAACGAGTGCACTTTAATTCATGTTTAAGGTGAAAAATTACCTTGGCGTTGGAATGTGTGTTGCGTGTGCATAATGTTTGATCGAATGGAATTTTCAAAGAAAATTCTTTTCTTTATTCAAAGCAAAGAAAAAAATATAGTTCGAGCATACCGATCGGACCAATTTCATGTCCTTTGTGGGATTTTCTATCGCTAATGAAACTGGAGCTGAACACAAAAACGAAATTGCACGCGAGATGAGAAAGACATGTGTGAAATATTAAATATGCTCACATGTATGAGATGCATGTGGATATACGCATGATTGTCTGTCAAACATATTTGATTTGGAGCATATTCTTTGAGCAGATATTATTGTTGTTTTGATATGTCATCTACTGCACTTCAAATGACATTTGAAATTCATCTAATATTCTTACATATACTCGGCTCAACTCGATTGCTTTGAGTGAGCGAAAAACAAAACAAAAATGATAATAAACTTTATGAATTTACATTTACGATCGCAACACGTTATATATGTATATAATTTTCTCTCGTTTTTCCGAAATTTAATTCATTCGATTTGGCACTGGGTGCAGAGATATTCGTTATCTCTCTCTCTCTTTCTCTCTTTGTCTCTATCATTTTATTTTGGTGTCATTTTCCATTGCCGTATGTCACCAAATTGAGTTGCGCGCATTTGCTCTTGATTTTCGGTTTTAATACGTTTTAATTAAAATTAATTAACATCTTTTCATGTGCAATGTTTATGAATTGTGCGCTCAAGTTTTGACATCTTATTTTCAACGCCATTTCAGTTGCGGATAATATAGAAATGATACGAAACAGAATGATTGAATGAACAAGGAAGAAACGGTACGGGGTATGTGAGAGTGAAACCGAATGAAAAACTGAATATGTTGAATTTGTCGCATTGAATTTAAATGTGAAAAGAATTTGGAAAAGGTCCTGAACAAAAAAGAAAACAATGGTTTTCGGCGTACAAAAACACAAAAGTCATTAATATAATGAGGACGAAATGAGAATTTCAATGTACGTGGCGTGTGAGTGAGTGTGTTGATGTGCGACGGGTTTAAGATGAATGGAAGTGTATGTGTGTGTGTGTGTGCAGAAGTGGGAAAAATGATAGAATGGGAGATGTGCTCGAAATTCCATCCGCATAAATAAAATACGCGTTTATATGACATTTAATAATTTCACTCAAATACAATGAGAAAATGAACTTGGTAACGGATTGTATGTCATGCACAAATCGTATATACATCAAACGACGTTGAAAAAAATACGTATTCATTGTGTAATTGACACGAATTTTTTTACCTAGTCATTTGTAGTCGAATGTATTATTTTAAAAAAAATCGTACAGTCGTCTGTTTCAGCTGTATATTTGCTTCATTAATTTTTTTTTTTTTGCCATTGCCGTACTTATGTTTTAAAGTGACACTGTGCATAAACGATGTAATTTGCACCGAGATCGGAATGTTTTCAATACATAAATGTAATTTCTTCTTTGATAAAACGAAACATGGTTGAATGACTTGGAAATCTGTGTGACAATTTCGAGATGGCATATTCACAAAGAAAAAATCTTCACATGTCATATCAGTGTATATAATGAAAATATATGTCTTAAAATTTAAAAAACTTCCATATCATTTTAATGGGAGAAAAAACGCACACAGCACATTTGTAAAATGATATTTTTCTTCGTATTTTTACTTTCATTTGAGAGGAAGTGATAAAGACGTTGTTTTTCTTGGAAATAAATCATTTTATTTTTGATTTTGTGCTGAACAAACCAATTATAATTATGAGTTGCATGGAAAATTCATAGCATAATGATAAATACGAAACAATTCAGGTGAAAAAGTCAAATGAAACAACAAGCAAATCTTTTAACAACAATCAAATTGTTAAACTTCCAGCTAATAACGGCAAGTGGCTTGCAGTTTACTATGGGAATTCTTCTCGAAGGAAGCGAATACAGTATTATAAAATAGACAAACGATCCCCAGTTTGTTGATTTTTGGTCTCGAAATTTCTTGTTTCACTTTAATAGCATCAGTTGAAATGAATAGAAACAGCTTAAAAAAATGGCAGGGAAAAAAATTATGCTCCGCATGCTTAAGAACACACACACATATACACATTTTGATTTTGCCAAACAAAATCATCATATTTGCCTGCTTGTTATTTTGCGATGCGTTGTCTCTTCTCCAAAGTACTTCATACGCTTATCGTGGAGTCAGTATCATTTCCATTTCAAAGCACATATCTAAGCATCCCTACGCATAATTACGTTTAAAACCAAATAGCGGGACGGAGAAAGCGAGAGAGAGAGAGGAAAAAAAAAGATTAAAAGGCAAAGATGTTCAAACAAAGAAATGTAGTGAATCTTTGTGCGCTTGCATCATAAGACTTTTAATAGGATGTTCAGTGGCAAAGAAAATGTGAAGAGGCAACAAATCAGTGTGTATGTTTGTGTTTTATCTACATCAAGCAGAAATGTTTGGCGTTAATTAAATATTAAATCTAAGAAAATGTAATTTTTCTTCGAAAATTTAATGGCGTTTTCTCATCTTCTAAGCTTTGCCATCTTATACATTCAATGCAATTTTATTCACAACACCGCAAAAAATCGAGTTTTATTTAATTCATTTCATTTATTTTGAGAACTTTGGCGGGCCATAATAAAATGTTAACTTTGGCGGGCCATAATTAATGAAATTTAAAACAAACGACGTTTTAATATCGTAAAACATCAATTTAAATCATAGCTGCGTTGTGTGTGTGTTTTTTTAAATTGAAATATATAACTCATCTGCATTTTGAATTTTTTTGTGTCAGTTTCAGGTGCCCTTTAAGATTAAATAATCATTTCAAAACAGATGGTAAAAATTGATATGCTGATATTTGCACATAAGTCTAGCACAGAAGGTAGAAAATGTCATGTAAAATTGGATTGACAATAAAAAGTGGAAATAAACATAGCTATTACTTGTGTTTAAATCGCGTTAATTCCACTGTGAATAACCTCGAATACATGTCCACTGACAATGATGACAACAAGCAAGATGTCTAACAACAGTGGCGTACAAATGCAGATCCACATTGATATATACTTGCTGTATTGCAAGCAAATGCCATAAGTCAAGTAAAATATTCATGTATTGGAAGCTTTTTGGTTTATTTAATTGTAAAATACGCAGAAATGCTAATAAAATATCCGTTAATATTGGTCCCATGTGAATTGTGTATTTACAAACATTACTGACACTCGATTCAACAACTGCATTGAAGTAAAAGTATCATCAGTTGCCACAGTTCTATTTATTTCATTTGGAACCAACACCATGTAGCCACATCACGTACCATCACACTCATTCACTCGAATATATTTGGTTGTTTCGTCTTTTTCATCTCACAGCCGCAATTTTTTTTTTTTTTTTTTTTTCAAAAAAAAAGCGCCTCTCGCATTGGGTTTCAGGATGTTGAAAAACGCTTGCACATAGGAACATTTAAGCGTTGTTGGTGGTGCCGTAATACAAGTGGGTTCAAATGTTTGTAAAGTCATGGCATATATCGGTCTTTTTTCGCGTTTCGCTGAGCTCTTATTTCACTACAATGATTCAAATGAGGGCGACAAAGCGAAGTGGTTGATTTAGGCGAAAGGCGAAATTAAGTTGAGCTTTAACTTTAATTGTGACTTATTGATGGAGTGAAGCGCTACACACACAAAATAATATGTGTTATAATTCAACAGTCTGATGGTAAGGATTATAACCTCCATGTAATTCGCATTTCGTATGGTATTATTTTCAATAGCTCAGTTCAACGACAAATGTCACAAAAGCTGCACATGTCTTAAATTCAATATACCAATAAATCACCGACTTCATTGGTTAGTTATGGTGACAATTCATAATTTTACCAAAAATTGGCGTATTTATTATCCGATTTTGTTTGTGTGTGTGTGTACATGAACAGTGTTATACACAAAAGATCTAAAGATGAGGAAAGCTAATTTGATGTGCTGTAAACTTATTCCGGGCACGATTTCACGTGACGACGAACGAGTGATATAAAAAAGCAACCATATTTGTTAAATCCCGTTACATTTTCCAATGCATCGTTGATATCCTTGAACATATATTTTGTCCAAAGTCAAAAATATCACATGCGAAAATTGAATGGAATTCACGCAATAACTATAACAATGGAACACATTACTTAATTTCGGATCAAGGCATCAAACGATGTTCGAACTTCGAAGTGTTTCGATTAGATATAATTTCAATGTCAAAAGAAACTTTATTTACAGACCACGCAGATCGTCATAGTAGTCTCACTCGGAAGCACTAATACGTATTCTATATGCTACGTTGCGCTTGGGCTCAGACACGAATAACAACAACAAAAAAAATCACTTACCATCTAATTAGCAGCTCTTTAATTACACACCACGCTTCCAAATATTAAATAATTGAGTATATTTGGCCTTTCCCAGTGGATCGAATTCCAAATTATTTATATCGCCAATGTGATGTAATTGTGTTTCTGTGGAAATTAATTAAAAGAGAAAATCGTATTGTTTAATGATAAAAAAAAAACAGTTCAACCGATAACGTATTGTTAGCATATAAAAATATTCTCATATTAAATATATTTGTGGTGTTATTTATATATAAAATGATTTTTGAGTCCATTATCATCATTTATATTTGAAAAGGGGCATGATAATGTTTGTCACACAAATTGCTCGTTTTACACACTTTCTCTCTATCTCCCTCTATCGTTTTACATGAATTATTAAATAAAGACAACCAGTTTTTGGCGCTGTATTATTATTATATTATTTAAAGGATAAAAAAAACAACATTAAACACCATTATCAGATTATCAAAAAGTTTTCCAATCGAAAAGCGCCAACTTAAAAGCTGCCATTTTCACATGGCATATAGCCAACGGGTAAAATAAAATTCTATCGTTTACACGTTTATGTGGAAAATATACGGAGGGAATGCGTCAAGCATTAAATAATAAAAAAATAATGTTTAAAAAAGTATTTAATCGTAATAGTATTAAAGCGATGGACATTATCGATGATGGATAATAAATACGTATGCGAGGGCAAAGTATTTGTATTCTCTTTAATTTATGCAACGAGGTTGTGTGAAATCTTCAATTTTGCCAGTCGCGTGCATGCTCAATTTAAATGAACCATTGAATATCAGTAATTGAATTTGACGCACAATTTTCGTTAAAATAAATGCTCCAAACGTTCATTAATTATCGATTTGATATCGATTTATTGATTGAAATTTATATGATTGCATGAAAAAAAATTATGGAAAAATTAAAATCGTAAAGGGAAAAAGACCAACCAAATGCAATGTTATGACTTGAAATGGATTTGTTTCATGACGAGATTGGAAATCGTATTTATGACATTTAGACAAATATATATCATCGTAGATTTGGCACAATGGCAATAACAAAAAAAATACTCTGCTAATGTACTTGGAAGTAATGCTTGATGTTTCTATGTATAAACGAGTCGAACTTAAAAGATTTTTCTGACTCACGGAACGAATTTTTCAAAAAGAAAACTTTTGTTTTTGTGGATTTGTCTCAGGTTGATAGCTGATACCTTTCTTGAGTTATGGATGATACAAACGAACCAAAAGCGATTTTAAAGCTCGATGATACATCAAGCAATATCAAAATAAACCGGTAGTGTCGCGTTGGAAATGTCGAAAAAAATCAAATAATAGCAACAAAACAAAAGACAAAACAAATATTGGATGAAATAAAAAGTACGACCAACAAAAACAAAAGCATTTCAATCGAACAGCGGATTAGTACAAACATCATCAAAGTCCAATGTAATGCGACGTTTTGCATTGATTTCTATTCATTGATTGTGCGACATACTCGGTATGATTTGTGTCTGTCGCTTTAAAATTGACATAGACATCGATGGAGAATGAGAGTTTTTCCATTCAACATATTCATATTTGCGTTTGAAGGTTTCACTTTTATATGTTTTGCACAGTTCACCTTTTTAGAATAAGAAAAAAAAAATACGGGAAAAAAACAAACCAGATACGTGTGTATTGCAAAAACAGTAAAACCAGTTACCAGACGAGAATCCACGTAATAAAAAAAAAAAATTGTCACAAAAAACAACAACGGCACACATAACGTATTCAGACACAGAGAAAAAAAGTGTTGCAGTAATAACAATAAGAACAACAGTACAAAGCCTATCTTTATTATATTTTTGTTTGTGATTTTTCGCTTTTGCATTCGAACAGATGAACAAATAATTTCTCTATACACTATACAAATAGCATTGTTGATACAGTTTTTAGTTCTACTTTCACTGATCGTTCTTTGTGCTCGGGACATTTATATATTTGTTGCTTATTTTAGCATTTTTCGCTTAATTTTTTTTTTGTAAGATTGATGTTGTTGTGTGGTATCTTTTTGAAGCTTTGATTGTTTTCTTCCATCACATTCACTTGTCTGTTTACTTTGCTTTGTTCAAAGTTTAGAGGTTTCCGCTTTGTTTAAAATTCGGAGAGAGAGAAAAAAACCGAACGCTTTTGTGGTACATCGAAGACACTATAAAGTACACAAAAAAGCAACAAAATTGTTTATGAACGTGTAGGTTTCTCTCTCTAGTTGGTTCAACTCTTTCTCTCATTTTTGCTTTCGTTGTCTGGGTGTGTTTGTGTGTGTGTTTCTTGTTTGAATGTGCCTGTGAAACGGTTCAAATGATGTATCTACTTTGAATGTCATGATGTGACGGTGGCCCAAGCCTGAGGTCTATGCGGCTTTTTAAATACTACTTTTTCTCTGACGATTTTTGTTTTCGCTTTTTGTTTGAATTTTCTTCTATGCCCAAAGGGTGACGACACGGATAAAACCAACTTTTTACTTTTTCTCTGGTATTCCTTCATTTTCTGTGAATTTTTCAACCGCGCTACGGTGTTTATATGAGCGCGCGCGGGTGTGTTTCTTCTCTGCTTGCGTCCTTATTCTTGTTTTTATTTATGTTTGTTGTCTGTTGATTTTAGTTTGGCCAATACTCGACGGCAGGAGCGGTAAATGGAACGAGCGCTCTCTTGGTGATTTCGACATGGTTTGTTTTCGGTAGTAATCGACTGCACACAGATAAATCGAACCTTTACTTAACCGCACTTGCTTTGATTAAGTTTCAGTATCATTTTAAGATTAAATTTATGATGGATTTATTTATTGAAAACTTTCCAATCGAAATTCTTTAAACAAGTGGTGTTATTTTTTTGCAAATAGTATTATTCTTCAACGCTGTTTCATGCAGCTTCTGTTGTTGGTGTAGTTGATAATATCAACTTGATATTTCGTTAGCTATAAAGTTTTTACGAATTCAAAGTTTTAAATTTCCGAGAATTCGTACAAAAAGAAACAGCAATATTTGCAATAACAAAAAAAAAAACATTTAAAATGACGGTGATGGAATTCGCATTGAATGCAAACCATTGTCTCACCCAACAGCATCAGCCATTTCGAGAATGTACAGCTAATTAAATGCCAAACGCATAAATGGAATGCAGCATTTTTTTAAGTATGTATTTTTACGTGTTTATACTGTCACGTTTTCTCTCATTTCGCCAACACTCTGCATTTATTCTGCTGACACAAATCAGTTTTCTCTCTGAATGCCAGAAGTCAACGAAATTCGTTTGGTCGTACATATTCACCGATTAGCTAAAACGGATACACACTTCATTTACCCATGGAATCGTTTAATTTCTTTCAATTTTTTTTTTCTTTCGACAAGCTGACAAAAGGATTTAAATAAATTCGTTTATACTTTTCATCAAATTTATTTTATACGTTTGTAATTTTTTTATTGTTCATTTATTTTGTGTATAATATAAGTTTTTATGTATACTTCTTTCTAAAAGAGCATTTGCGTGATTTTTTTCTTCTTTTCAGACTCTGAAGTTCAGAGCATAGCATGAATGCAAGTAGAAATTTTTTTTCGTAAAATTCAGCCATTCATTCGCCTTTTAATTCGATACCTTTAAAGCTCACATTCCATTTTAAGTAGTCATTAAATCCATGTTAAGATGATAAATCTTAACAATGAAATTGCTTTTCTTTATAGACATAACAACAATCAAACGCAAATAATAGCACATTAATGACAGAAATGTGATCGCATTCTTATGCGTTATCTCTTTGAGCACAAGCCAATAATTTGAATACGTAAATGTAAAGTCATATCATTTTCTAGTTAGCGTACGACGTACGATTCCATTTGGTTGCAACCAGTACAACATACATAGTTACACGTTGCACATGTATCGAATTGCTTTTTTTCAAATAGAAAGCGTTCAAAAACAAATGAGAAATCACAATAAATTAAATGTGTAAGCAATTTACATTGTTAATGTGAGTCAGACTGTGATTCCGTCTGTCATGCAGTAGCATAAATGTTTCATTTTCATCTTTGGCAATTCGCTTAAATTCAGTTGATTTAATTTTTCGGATAAAAGTTAAACAAGAAGAAGAAATTCGCCCGTTTTCTAATTACACTCAACGGCATCATCAGTGGCCAATGTAAATTGTTCTATAATTGATGCAATTATTGTAGAGACAATAAAAACACAGCGAAAATATGGTTGTTGTTTTGATGTTTAATTCGTATTTCGAATATAATTAGCTGGATGATGGTGCCGTTTCATTCGATCGTTCTATCACAGTGCAAATAATATAACAGATGTTGTGGAAGTTTTATATTTATAAAAAAAAGAAAAAGAAAAGCGCTAGAAAATATCAACAATATATTTTGCATTTTCCTCGTCAAACTTAATATTTGAGCAGAGAGGATTCAATGTGCTGTAATTATTATTATTTTGGCGCTGGCTGTGACTTCACCAAAAAAAGGAAAAAAACTTACAGCTTTGGCTTAAAAGTTCGACGCTTTTGCGCTAGACATACAGTCAACTGGTGGTTTTAGCTCACTCACACCCTCCTTCATATCATTAAAATAATTTGTTTTTCACATCTTCACAAAACGAAGCTGCAAACACATTAAAATTCGTCGCGGGTGAATGCCACACAAAATTCAAAGTCATGGGTAAACAATTTTATGGGCCAATTAGTAAATATTTGAATCGACGTTTTGGAGATTCAGTTTTTGCACAATCTCATGAATTAATAATAATTAAAAGACTTGAAAGAGAGGCTTTTTTTCTTTGAACAACATTAAATCAACGCGTATCTGTCGATATATTCCACGAATTTGATGATTTTTTTATTTCAAAATGTAACATTGTCACTGGCTATCGTCGTTGTTGTTACCATCATAATCATCATTACGATCTTTCGTATGTTTGGCTCTACTATTCAAAAGGTTTTGCGATTTAAACACGTTTACATGTGGCATAATTTTAACAAATTTTCCATATCATGTAAAATAAATATTTGTGCCTGAAGCGATGTTCTGTTTGTATTCGTATTCTGGCTGACGTGTAGATTTTGTATGCGTCTGAAATGAGAAA